AGTGGCAGCTTCTAGGCTCCCTAATTGCGACAGCTGCAGAAGATACAGGGGCTTAGGCTCCCTATCTGTGACAGCTGCAGAAGATGCAGAGGCTTGCTTTCCTTAACCGTCACAGCCGGCGAACTTGCAGAAGGACAGGCCCCAAACTGCAACAGCAGTTGGAGTTGCAAACTCGACGGCGAACAAACTGCTAAACCACAGGTGGTCGGACAGTGCGAAAGCACTGTAAATGCCGTGCAAAACGCAGGTGCTGCCAAGAAGGTTTTAACACTCCTAAAACCTGAAGCGCAACGTCTTATCAACATCAAAAACAAAGATGCCAGCTGCACGTGCGAGGAGCCCGCCAATGCCCCTAAAGCCCAGGCGTCGGCATAGGAGGGCTTGCCTTTTAAGTACTGTGTGGTGCGTGTGCGCTAGGGTGTGGAGATACTGTTTGGGGCGTCCGCGAAACAGTGTCGTGATCATCCCCGTCCGAAGCCCAACTTTTTCAATATCCAGGAATGGATTTGAGGCATGACGCGACAAACACACCGTAAATACCGACAAAAACGGATGTGCTCTTAAGAGGGTTTGGAGCAAAGGTAGTTGGTCGGGGGGGGGGGCGGGCGCCTAGTAGCAGTAGCAGTAGCAGTAGCAGCAGTAGTAGTAGTAGTAGTAGTAGTAGCAGCAGCAGGAGTAGGAGTAGTAGTAGCAGTAGTAGTAGTAGTAGTAGTAGCAGCAGCAGCAGGAGTAGTAGTAGTAGTAGTAGTAGTAGTAGTAAGAAGAGTAGCAGTAGCAGTAGCAGTAGCAGTAACAGTAGCAGTAGTAGTAGTAGCAGTATTAAGTATTAAGTATCAACATTAGTAACTAATTAGTATTAGTATTAGCATTTGCAAGCGCTGGTGCTACTGCTCCTGCTTCTGGTGTTTAGTACTTGAAGATAGTGCCGACATAGCTGGACTCCCTTGTTGAAGACGCCTTGAAACCCTTTGGAAATATTTATTCTTGATGCTGTCTTGGTTCTTCACGAATTAAAGGACACATTCGGGATACCGCCGTTTAGGTTTGAAAGATTCATGACATGGGCACCGCTTGAAACTTTCGGGCTGTTTTCCAAGCATATCTTCGGCGTTTTTCTTTGCCGCTGTGGCAAATCGGTTTCTGTCTGTCAGTGAGGCTGACTGGCCTTTTGAACATTTTGCATGGACTGTCTTCGGCAGGATGCCGATTGGGTGGCTCGCACGATGCTGGCACAGGCAAAGAGTTGGATGCTTGATATATCGCCCACACGATTTACTGTGACCGCGAGGTTCGCAGCGGTTCCGTCCTGATCGCGCACATGCCAGAGCGAGGCAGTTCATGCATAGCCTGCCTCCTTTCCTTTGTATGCTTGCCTGCTAGCTTAGCTACCTACCTGCCTCCCTACCTACCTACCGACCGACCTACCTACCTGCCTACCTACCTGGTCACACGTACTTTAGTGGAATGTGCTTCTAACCCACGCCTGCCAGCAAAAATGAGCAAAGTTAAGATATGCCTGTGAACATGACTATCAAGGATCATCCTGACCCCAAAACCGCAAAACCTGCAAGAAAGCGCCTCTTTCCCTCTCTCCCCTTCTCTCCCTCTCTCCCTGTCTCTCCCTCTCTCTCTCTCTCTTTACCCTCTCCTCTCTCACCTCTCCTCTCTCACCTCTCCTCTCTTTTTGTGTCTCTGTTTCGAGGCTTTCGGGAGCACATATTCCAGGTGCTTTGACTGCAGCGAGTGCGGCAGTAGCAGCGTGGCCAAACTTACAGAACGGTGACATAGACATGCAAACATGTGGTCGCATGTAATTTGCCTTCGTGTTGCCTCGGGCAGATTGCGGGTTTCGCCCCGCCTCACTCTTGAGAGCATGGTCTTGGCTGAGGCCCTCAAACTGATTCTGGAAGGCCTCCGCCTTTCCCATCGAGCATTTTCGTTCCAGCACGGCTTGGCGCAGGGGTTTATCGTCTTTCAGATTTAGCAGATCCCTCGTCCCCCCTCGTGCTCTTTGGAGGATTGCGGCAGCGCGGCCTGGCGGTTGTCACGCTTAGTGCCTTGGAGGCCCAGCAGGCCATTCCCGTGCCCCGGGCATTGGCAAAGCATCCTGCAGAGCGAGGCGGGCGTGTCCTGCATGACATGACCAGAAAGGGGAACAGGCCCGAAAGTCCACTAAACATGCAAATGGTCAGGTTATGCTGTCATCAGCCACCACAACTTTGGCATGGTCGATGGTGTTGTGTTCAACACGCGGGATGAGGCCACTTGCTCGGTGCTGATGACTCTGGGTGTAGGAAAACCGGTGATCCCGCCACAAACACGCAAGTTCGATAGCGAGGCCATGCATCATTGGCATCGTCTCTCGATGTTCTCCGCTCACATGCTTGTGGGTGTCCTGGCCGGATAAAGAAGACAAACTGGCACTCTCCACAGAGTCTGTTGTCGATGCAATCTTCTAGGTGTAGTGCTCAGGGTTTGCACAGTCAAGGCCCTGATGGCAAGGAGATCAAATACTATGGTAAGCGCAGCGGCAGAGACGATGAGATGTTGCGGTGGTGGGAGGATCATGCAGGATCATAGTAGCAAAAATGTGTTCGCCAAGTGCAGTTCACAGTCTCCGATGGTCGCGTGGCCCCACTTCGGAACTCTTTTTGGAAATAGTCTCAAAAAGATCCACTGGGTTCATGGGGTTCGTCACGGCCAAAGGCCTGCTCCCTTGTTGCTGCTGCATCTGACAGATTGATTCGGCCTTTGCTCGGTCCTGCAGCTATCTGAGTCCACAAAATTAGCGAGGGCCCGGCTTCGTGCACTTGGCCGCTGCCGCGTGAACTGAGGCCAGACTAGAGAGGTACTTGTAGTACATCACATCGGGACTGAAGCTCTCTTCAGGAATGGAAGCATTCCTGGACAATCCAGCCCACCTCGGCCGATATAGTGGGCCAGTGAGGGGGAAGGCCTGGTGCCAAGCTTTTACTGGGTTTAAATAAGGCTCCTGGTTGGTCCAAAGCGCGGCTGTCTTCTTCTCTCGGGCAGGAGTCCGGCCCCTACCTTTTCGACGAGGAGGCCGGGTTCCGTTCTTGTCTGGAAAGGCTGCGCTGTCAGTACTCACATTTGGCTTAAACACTTGCGCACATCTGAAAAGAGGGGCATGTAGGAGCAGCTGCTGATGTAAGACACATTCGCACGCCAGCAAGAGCCTGCGGCTCCTTGTTTTGCATAGCTGACATGTGGGGCAAGCATTTTGGCTTCAAGCACTCCAGAGTCTGCTCTTACACCTCGCGCCTTTCCGATGACCATGAAGATCGTTGCTGCAGCTGCCGGCGCCATGGCCTTCCAGGCTCTTGGAGGACTCTTTGCTTCGCCGGCAAGGGCGGCTTGGGGCTGGTTCATGGACGTGCCGACGGTCTCGGCTTCACTTGCAGTGAGGGCACCTCTCTTGGCTGTGCCTCTCCTGCAGGTTGTGAGGACTCCAACTTTACTTGNNGGTCGTGCCCGATGCCGGCATGAGCTGCGATGTCACTTCCACGAACGTCGTCTGCTCCATTGAAGGCGGTGCCCAGAACTTCGTGCCGGACTCGGCCAGTCCGATGTGTGCCCAGGTCAACACCAGCAGCCATTACAACAACGCCAGCCTGTCCTGGAGCACGGTCCCGACCTGCGGCACAACCACCAGCACCACGACCGGTGCATCGACATCTGATGCAAGCATGGAGGTGGTCGGATTTGCGGCGGCGGCCCTGGCGACGGCGCAGCTGCTCTAAAAGCAAATTCATGGGAAGCGTGATGTGCAGTGGCCAATATGTCAGGGTGGCATGGACAACAGCAACAAGAGTCTCTGGAAATACGATGGGATGTCCTGCTTTCTTCATCGCATTTGATTTTGTTCCCTCGCTGCGAATGCACGGGGTGGGCATCAGAGAGGTCCTGGACATACTATGGGCCTCTTTCTGCCACGACGTTTGGAAGCAATGCTGCCTAGCTCATGGCTCGGTGTGCTAGCACATGCCGCGCCCGAAAAAACCGTCGTTGTTGTGATTATAGGACGTGACAGAAAGGTTGCAAGCCTGTATAGCATGGCTTTCCGCTCACTCACGACGGTGTTTCCTTCCATGCTTTGTGCGCGTTTGCTCATCATTGCTCCATCACGAAGTTAAAAGAATTAGATGTTCCTCTGCTTGTTCCGTTTCATCGACCCACTGCTCATCATGCGGAACAACCCATGTTTTCGGAGATCTCGTGTCTTTTGAACTGCTCGGTCCTCTTGCACTCACACGCACCAGCAGCATTTAATCTGATTCTTACAGTTGTGGCACATCGATTCCGCTTTTTCAAGAGGCCTGGGATGGGGTTTAAGGGACCACTGTGAGTTTAACTCCTCCTGGAGGCTTTGCGCGGGAATCAGCACCCGGCACTGGCGCCTCCTACAGGCAGAGCGGCAGACACCATCGTGTTGTCAGAGACTGAGTCCCGTGTAGGCCGCTTCGGAGGGCCGTTGTGGTACAACTCGCTTTACTGGCCGAACTTCCCTCCTCTGGGCTTCTTGAGCGACGACAGTGACGTGGACTCATGGCTTCATCAGAAGCAACAGTTGCGGGGTTGTTGAATCGGCAAGCGGCTGCAAGCTTTTGCTGCCAAGGATTTTCAAGAGAGCCTGCGTGCTGTCAACCCCGAGGGTCCGTTAGCTGACCAGCCGCCGAGCTTCAAAAGCCAACGAGCGACTGCTGTCTCTGCTGTCCGCCTGCAGCCGGCAGTCCAGATTCCTCTGAGGTACGTCACTTTTGGTGCTGCGAGAGAGTATCTGTGTCAGCATGGGCGCATGCCACAGGAACTGTGCAGGGAATCTTGATACAGCAGTGCAATAACGCTGCTGCACGGCCTAGTGCGTGAGGAGCCCATTACTCTCATGGTGGAGGTGATGCAGTACGATGGAGTATACGACAACGGTTGGCACTTTCCCTTACAGGCCGACCCTGTGCTTGCGGTGCACTGTGCAGAGGCATGCTAGGTTTTCGTCCCTTGATTCCTTTGCCCGAGGACTTTATCCCAAAGCGAGGGCACCACACCCCGTACGATGTCCAATCGCGAAGGGGCTTTGAGAACGGCGCGGTGGCTCTTGGCCTCAATGCCGAGGACTTCTCTGACTCTGTGAGAGCCCCGTGCTTGCGTGTTATGTTTCTCCTCGAAGTCGCTGGCATCAGCCATGAATGTGGTGTTCTGCAAGTTCTGCGGTGCCTAGGTGCTGCCCGTCAGTGACCTCCCTGCAGTTGTCACAGTCACCGCAGAGCCCCAAAGAACTCGGCTGCGCTGCTTGGATGTACAAGCATGCAAATGCGAAGAGGACAGCTTTGATGTCGACCGCCTGGCAGTGCGTCCAGTTTCTGGCATAATCTTGGTTCCGTCAAAAGATTGGTTCCGGAAAGGTCAGTGAGGAAATCGCGATCAATTGCTGGAGCTGTTCCTGGAGGGGCTGTTTAGAAAAGGTTAAGCTGGGCCGCCTGGACCGCCGACGCCGATATAGCCACAACAACCACAACCACAACCGCAACCGCAACCACAGCCACGACCACAACGACCACAACGATCACAGCAACCACAATAAGCAGAGCAACCACAACAGCCACAAGCGCAACAACCACAGCGTCCATAATGGACGACGACACCACCAGCACCGCCGCCGCCGCCGCCCCCACCGCCGCCCCACCCCCCATCCCCCACCACCCACCACCCACCACCCGCCACCCACCACCCACCACCCACCACCCACCACCCACCGCCCACCACCCACCACTCACCACCCACCACCCTCCACCCTCCACCCTCCACCCTCCACCCTCCACCCCCTCCACCCTCCACCCTCCACCCTCCACCCTCCACCTCCACCTCCACCTCCACCTCCACCTCACCACCACCACCACCGCCGCCGCCGCCGCCGTCACCGTCACCGTCATCGTCACCATCACCATCACCATCACCATCATGTCACCATCATCATCATCATCACCATCAGCACCATCACCATCGTCCTCGTCATCGTCATCATCATCATCATCATCACCATCAGCACCATCACCATCGTCCTCGTCATCATCATCATCATCATCGTCGTCGTCATCATCATCATCATCATAGTTATCATGTTGTTGTTGGTGATGACGAGCATGAAACAGAAACGACAATGCTTGTCACGCTGATGATGCTGCTGATGATTCTGACGAGGGCAAGGATGATGGTCATGGTCCATGGTGATGATTATGATGGTGGTGGTGGCGGCCATGCCGATGATGCTAGTGATGATGATGGTGATGATGATGATGACGATGATGATGATGATGATGATGATGACGGTGACGATGATTGTGGTGGTGGTGGTGGTGGTAGTGGTGGTAGCGGCGGCGATGCCGTCCTCATCCTGATCCTGATTTTCGTCTTCATCGTGGCCGACACCACTGGTGCCATCATCGAAAGATGGATGCTTAGGGATTCCGGAGTTGCAGGGTTGTGCGGATGGCGCATTGAGCAACCTGAAGGATGAGAGCTCCAGTGATCAGAGCTCGAAGCCCTGAGCCCAGAGAAGGGCAGGGAGGTAATGGATTCACTTGGGAGGGAATGATGTGAGGATAGCCTGCAGCGGCCAGCTCCGGTCAAGAGGTAGATAATCCATGAGTCCATGCTATGAAGTGTGAGAGGATGTTGATGCCTCCCAGGTAAGCATGACTCTGCCTCTGCCCACTGTAGTGTGTGGGTTTGGCCAAGGTTCGTTGCATTTTCTGGGGACGCCTGTCAGCCAGTACACGTAGAACCTGGTGCCTTTGTTTCACATCTTAACGCGTGAAGAGGCCCAGAGACCAATCTTTGTATCATTTTCGGTTTAAGTTGGATAGCCATGGCCTTGGTTCGAAATGGCCGCATGAATGGCCTTGTAAAGCTCCTTGTAATTCCAGCGGTCCGAAAGTTTCATGCAACTGTGTGGGCCCTGGATGGAACAGCTTTGCTTACAGAGCCTTACTAGGAGCAGCTTCGGTGATGGCGAGAACAGTGATCAGTTCGGGCCCATCGACAGATTCGACAGGCCTCAGCAGCGATGGGTCTCACGGCATGTCTACTTGTGGTTTTGTGTACTTCATGTGTGATCCATCACAGATGTTTGAGCACGAGAAGTGCCACTTTTGACGCATGCCTACCCCTTAGCTCACAACTCACTGCAACTAATACCAGAATACGCCGGTATGCATGATTGGTCCGAATCCTGCAAAGCTTGGCACGCATGTAAGGAGCCAAAACATCAACGTGCAGCAGTAGCCCCGCATGCGATGGCCTGAAAGTTTTTAGGAGGTCCTTGTCGGTCTCTTGAACTTGGAGACATCAGCCTGCCACGCTAGTAGTGGCACGAAGGCGTTCAGACGGCCGCATTCCGAAACCCAAAACAACCATAGCAAACCTAAGCCTTGCAGGCCCTCCTTTGCTGAGTCGATGAGCGGCAGTTCCTCTGCAGAAGGCTGGGATGCCATCTTGTTACGAGTTTCAATGCGGTGCTTTAAACTTGTGCCGTCGTCCAGAACCAAACATTGTCATCCGAAAGTGGTGCCTCTTGCGCAGGTCATGTGAATTTCACGGAGCAACGACAGCTGAACTCCCAGTCTCGGGGGCATGGGAAGACAAGACTTGGTCTGTTATTGAAAACGTGACTTGCAGCTGCAGGCCAGTGGCCCAAACATCGATGCTCAGGCGCTTTGCTGCGAAGATTCAAGAAAGTCAACTCTAATCCGATCCCGACAGTCTGCTCAGGGCCCACACGAGAGAATGCAGAGCGACATTTCGACCGCAGACAAGAGCTACAGAACTTGACAGAATTCCAAGATGAGGACCCCGCGCATCTGCGAAAGCTTGGCTCTTTTCCCCCAAAGGCGCAACTCTGTGCAGCGACAGGGTCTGCTGACTCAGCCCGCAGCTGCCCCAGCTGCTGGAGCTTCTGAGCTGTGCGACTGGGTCTGCGATGCGTTCTAGTTGGGAGACTCCGGCAGCTTCTGTCCAGACGCAGACAGCCAACGTCCACGTCCGAAGTCCAAAGCTGGCTGCTGCACGCAATGGACAACGAAGCCAAGCAGGCCAGACAGGCAGTCGCAGCTCACAAATTCAGGCATGCTGAGTCGGCGATAGACCGCGATGGCACGGACACTGGCTTTTCGCAAAGGTAAGCCCATGCACCACAACCAGCAGTTTAAATTTGGACGGGCAAACGAAAGCTCTTGCTGCGAACCCGTGACAGCCAGTTGGAGTAATTTTGAAGCAATCCTCACTGCATCCCGAGCATGGCACAAACGAGGTCGTTGGTGTCACAGCCAAGGATGCTGAGGGAGGCGAGCGCGGTCGAGGGTTTCAACATTTTTCATAAGTTGGGTCCCTTGCATCAAGCTGCATGATTGTGTGGGGCTGCACCCATGCATGACGCTCCCGCCACCTGAGTGTGGTGCCCTCGATTTGTTCCCAGACTGTCAGACGTCTTTCCTCGTCACTGACGGATGATGTCACGACAAAAGCACCCATAGCCAGAGTCGACAGGGTCAGGCAGGGTCCATCAGCACCAGGTGAAGACTTGCGCAAGCGCGAGCCCGCATGCCTCATTGCACTGGTTACTTGCGCCTCCCCACATGCTTACAGCCGCAGGTGACGTCAGCTTGGAGGAGCTCTTTGATGCAGGACAGTTTGCTGGCTGTTCGGGGTTGGATTTGTCTATTTATCCGCATCAATGGCCACATGAAGCCTGGCAATGAAGAGACCAATTTTCCGGCGAGCCTGGCCTAAGCACTCCGTGGCCACAGGCAGCGAAGATGCACGCCAGGCGGAGGTGCATGTGTCGCTGGGGTCCCAGGACTTGGGCAGCCGGAGCATGGGCTAAGTTCCGAGCATGTCAAATGCCTGGTAGGAGAGTGTTGAACAGAGCTTGCTAGCCAACGCCCCGGTTTTGCGTTGATGGCACACAGAACATAGAGCCTATTGAAAGAGCTAGAGGAGATGTTGCCTGGGGCAAGACGTTGGATTGTGACTCGAGAAGGCATAGGTTTGTCGCATGGTGCCTCTGCTAACTTTTCAGGAGAGTCAACACGCTGGCTGCGCAGATCTTAGCACAAACCTCTCGATCTTCGCTTCGAAGGATTTGGCTTCCGAGGGCCAGAAGAGTTCTGGGGAAGGTGCATCAATTGGTGGAGTATCGATAGAGATCAGCGGAGGCTTTCCAGATGCGGCCAAGCTAAGGCTGATGATTTGATGATATCTCTTCTCACCAGGCCTGGAGAAAACAGATTGCATGGCCTGGACTCAGATGTGGAAGGGACTGGAAGGGCTAAGGAGGCTTTGCTGTACAAGCCAGCCAACACTGCATCTGACAGAAACGGCTGAAGGACTTGCACAAGGCTCTCGAATACTGCGTCATCGTCTCTGGTCGTTCTGTCCGAAAAAGCCGCTGGAGTGTAGAAGAGCCGAGCTCTTCTAGTCTCTGGGTTGGAAAGCCCCGGGCAGGAATATCTCAGGAAGCGACCAGGAGGCCGTGAACTTGGGCCACAGGGGGACTTGCTGCGACTGGTAGCGAGTGCGAGCCAGACGGGCAAGCCAAATCAGAGACATGAATGCTTGAGGTCGTTGGGTGCCTGTCAGGGTGAATCTTTCCGCAGAGAAGAAGTACACAAGTGTCGCCAGGACTTGCGGCGGGCTGCAACCCCCGACGCCTGGAGCACAGGTGCTTTCAGATTTTCGCTCATGTACGTGTGCGACTTGTGGGCCGGATCCCAACAAGCACCTGAGCGGCCGTCGCAAGCCGGCTGTTGGTATCTAAAGTTGACGTTTGGCATC